CCTACTTACTCAAAATCGAATTAATCAATAATTATTTAAAGATCGTAGATAAAATGTTGTGCCACTCGTGGAAGAACTTATATTTCTGACTCGCACACAGAAAGTATCACTTTTCGCACTTGTTAAGAAAATATCATTTCCGCACTGAATTTACTCTTAAAGGAGAAAGACTTTTTCGAACTATTACCTATTTTCTTTCCGCTACATATCATTCGCTTATACAATATACAATAAGTTACATTAAATTGCTCGTTCGCCTAAAATTGTAATAACATCTTCAGGCACTGCTGAGCCGGAAGATGGAAACATTTTCAATGGGGTGCTCAAAGATAAGATAGAGTCCATTACAGACTAGAGATTTCAAAATAACAAACCTACAACATTTGTGAAACATAGGTACAACTTGTCAACTATAGGTATGGAGAGACTTGGTGACTTTACCATCTGCGTAGAAAACCGAAGTGAGAACGCATCTTCATGTCAAATATACGAAGAAAACCTGGCGATTTTACCATCTGCGAAGAAAACCGAGTGAGAACGGATTCTTTCTTCATTCTTCACGTGTCGCATGTTTCACAAGTTGTACTTATTTTTCTCTGCGCTTAACTAGGTAATGTTTTTCTAAAAATAGGCATGACTTTCAGCATTTTTAGAGAAATCTAGTATTCTTTACCTTAGAGAATTTGATACTTTGATAAACCAATTACAAAAGAAAGCGATATTTTTGCAATGGAATGAACCATCCAGAATTTTTATAGGTATTTTTACTTCAGATAGAAAATAATAGGGACTATAAATGTCTGCCCAGCGAGTCTGTGTCTACGGGGCAACGGTAAGGGGAATGCAGTTGTAAAAAAAAATGGCTGATTTCATTCATAAAATACCCAGCTGCGTGCGGAACTTTTTGGAAGTGTTATCGTATTGCAACTCGTACACGAAAATCAGCAATGACCAAATCTCCGCCACTGGATATGTCAATATAAATCGATATTCCAAGATGGGAGGATAAAATGACGTGAGCCCTGGCCAATAGCCAGACGTAAGGTGACGTTAGCTCTTTGACAACCGTATGGTTCCCCATGATAACGGCGATCCTGCCAAAAACTCCACCAATCAGGTTCATCCAGGACGGATGCTTGCCAAATTGTCAAAGGCGGATGGTACCTTTAGAAAATGTTTATTTTTTACAATAGACCAAACTGAAGAAATCAGGATTAAAATAAGGATAGGTCTAACAACCACGTTAAAATATTTAGCATTTTATTATTGTTATCAATATTTTGTTATCAAAAAATGGATTTTCAAATTAACTATACTTCATGCTTAGTATTTTCGCTTTTTTATAATTGAACGTGGCAACATGGCACATTTACGTCCGAATTCCTTCCGTAGACTCAGATCCGCTGGGCAAACAATAAGTACAGGGTGGCCAAATTCGAGCCTCATCATTGGGATCTCGGAAACCGTAAGAGATACGGAGTCGGTTAAAGTATGGGAAACTTGCGCAATTTTATGACCAATTGAATGCCGTTTTGAAATTAGAAAGATTCCGAATACTTCCGGAGATATTCGGAAAAAACCGAAATTTTGTAAAATCGTTTTTATTTTTTCTTATTTGAAGAGTAATTTCAAAATAAATGTCACTTTATCATTGTCACTTTTTCCCCGAGATTTTTCTCCTTTAGAAGATGGTGCTACTTAATTTAAAATTCGACGTTTCGTCGTCAGGCGGCCATCATTAACTTACTTTTTTCAAATACGGATCTAGATTTTTCATTTGCGATTTTGTCATCTTTGGGTATCCTAAAATCGATACTGTTTATAATTTCTCAATAACACAGTGAAAAAAGCAGGTCCGTATTAAAAAATAAATAAATTAATGATGATTCAAGAGAAACGAAATGTTGGATTTCAAATTTAATACCGCCATCTTGTAGAGAAGAAAAAGTGACAATGTCAATGTGACATTAGTTTTTCAAAATCTTTCTAAATAAAATCAGCAAAAAATAAAAACTATAAGTACGAAAAAAATATGAATTTCTCATATTTTTTAAAATTTCTCCCGATTTCACCTAAAAAAGATTTTGAAATAGTATATTTCCTAACAAGTGCGGAAAGTGCCACTTTTCCGCACGCGATTGCAGTTCGCCGAACGACGCGTAGCGGAGTTAGGCAAGCAATCAAGAACTCCGCTGCGCGTCTTTCGGCTAACTGCAATCGCGTGCGGAAAAGAGACTTTGCGCACGAGTTAGGAACATTATTTTTTCTACGAGATGAAAGTTAATATTTTTCACCTACATATTTATCAATTTAAGATATTTTGTTCACTTTTTCGTACCTGTACCTGTAGTATACCTGTATATCTGTTAGTACCTGCATACCTATCTGAAAATTTCAGGTATTCTACTTTTCCGCACTCAAAGTACACTTTTCCGCACGCTCGTAGAAAATAGCTATTTACCTAACAAGTGCGGAAAAATATTTTCCGCAAGTGTTAGGTACAATATTTTTCCTACAGGCGTAAAAATGTAAAATTTTTTTTTTTTTTGACAGATCAGTGCGGTAAAAATTTTTCCGCACTGACAGCCGTTGAGAACGGTAATGCGTGCGGAAAAGTACTACTTTGCGCACGCTCGTAGGAAAAAATATTTTCCTACGAGCGTGCGCAAAGTAGTACTTTTCCGCACGCATTTCCGGGCTCAAAGTTACACTTTTCCGCACTCAGTGCGGATACAGGCCTTATCCGCACTGAGTGCCGAAAAGTAATTATAATTGTCAAGCAACAATAAGTGCACCTGTCGACTTTGACACAAGATGACAAATTTTTCCTCTGTTTCTATATCAGCCAACATCTATACAAACACTAAATATGAATTAACTTTGACACATTGTCAGATTTGTTCTCTATTTACATGCAAAAATCTACAAACTTTCTCATCAAATTTAAACGCTTTAAGATGAACAGCTCTGACGAGGATTTTCTGTTATTTTTTTTTTGTTATTAATTTTTTGATAAATGCATAGGTTCCTTTTAAGTTAATTAAAAATAATTAAACAAATTATCGTTTTTTTTTTAAAATTTTTGTTATTACCTACCTGATATGAAGCTCGTAGGAAAAATTTTGTTCCTAACACGTGCGCAAAGTGTCTTTTCCGCACGCAAACACGTATCCGAACTCCGCTTCGCGTCGTTCGTATAACTGTGCTTGCGTGCGGAAAAGTAACACTTTGCGCACTTGTTAGGAAAATAACTATTTCCTACGAGCGTGCGCAAAGTAGTACTTTTCCGCACGCATTTCCGGGCTCAAAGTTACACTTTTCCGCACTCAGTGCGGATACGGGCCTTATCCGCACTGAGTGCCGAAAAGTAATTATAATTGTCAAGCAACAATAAGTGCACCTGTCGACTTTGACGCATGATGACAAATTTTTCCTCTTGTTTCTATATCAGCAGCCAACATCTATACAAACACCAAATATAAATTAACTTTGACACATTGTCAGATTTGTTCTCTATTTATATGCAAAAATCTACAAACTTTTTCATCAAATTTAAACGCTTTAAGATGAACAGCTCTGACGAGGATTTTCTGTTATTTTTTTTTGTTATGTAATTTTTTGATAAATGCATAGGTTCCCTTCAAGTTAATTAAAAATAACAAATTATCGTTTTTTTTTTTTAATTTTTGTTATTACCTACCTGATATGAAGCTCGTAGGAAAAATTTTGTTCCTAACACGTGCGCAAAGTGTCTTTTCCGCACGCAAACACGTATCCGAACTCCGCTCCGCGTCGTTCGTATAACTGTGTTTGCGTGCGGAAAAGTAACACTTTGCGCACTTGTTAGGAAAATAACTATTTTAAGTCTGGTCTAAAATTGCTCCCTCCGCTCACCGGATTTTAAAGAGAAAATCCTCGGAAGCAACAATCCTCAGAACAAATAAATTATTCAACCATCCTATTATTAAACCCGATTAATTCGCGCCTTAAAATAGGACCACTTTAATTTATAGATGTTTCTTAAAAACTAAAAAATAATCCGCAAATTTCCATATTGAAATCGGTCTAAAAAGGCTTACTCAACGTTAAATACAGCATGTTGTACGTGTTGCATTGAAGTGTTTTACCTTTTTAAAAGAAGTTACTTCACCGATCTATGCCAAAAATAATACTGAATACCTAATATTTTTTTTCTTAAGCGCACTTTTTTTCGAAAAATAACGTGCAAAGGTTCATTTACCACCCGAGTGCAGAAAATCAGTACGTAGGTACTTTCCTCACGGAAAATTTTATCCTGATGCATTTCTGAACTAGTTATATAATTCATCCCTGGTAAAATTTTCTCAATAATATAATCTTTGTGAAAGCATATTCCTCAAAGTTTCGACGATTTTTTTAATACAATTTTAACAAGATTAGGCTCGCAATTTGACACAAATTGTGCTCCAAGGTAATAAAAACGAGATTAATAGGTTTGAGAAATCAAAAATTCAAAAAGTTTTACTTTTTTGTGTATTTTGGACATTTTCAATAATGACAAAACAAGTAATTTGCACATCGATAATAAATTGCCGGAGGACAATTATTAGGTACCTACAACCAGAAAGACGATTTCAAAATAAAATAGGGTAACAATAAACATTTTGAGATTTGCGTAATAAACTGGGGCTTTTTCACTAATTCTCTGGTGAAGTTAGAAAAATATAGGAAGAATCTCAATAGGTTTAAAACTCAAAAAATTTAGAAAAAAAAACAACCCCTTATAGCCTTTGCAACAACTTTGACAACCAATTTTCAATGTTCCCTATAAAATATTAGATGAAGTTGATAAGAAAATGCAGGTAACCAAAATAACAAATCATGAGTCAAGACCCGCTCTTTTTCAATGCTTATTCCAATAATTGATATCAAAATAGGTATATACGGAAATGGCTATGGCAAATTGAAAACCAATAGTAATTATCTGTTACTGGAAAATTCTAGAAAAATGATTTACTTACAGCTTTCTGCCCAAGTGAGAACTTTCTGAGTCCGCACGTGATACTCGTCATCTTCTTCCGAATAACTAAGTCCAGTTTTATAAGGTTCATCTCCTTGCATGCCATATTCCTCCTCGATTTTCGCTAAATAGTGCATCGGCACGTCTGGTAAAACTTTACCGGTAATATTAGGCGCTTGACTGAAACCCATACGCTTTAAAATTTCCTCTTTTATTATCGCCAAATTTCTAACTTTTAACTCTTCTCTGCGTTTGCAGAGACTACAGCCTCCGGTTGGTGGCGAGGCTGGAATCGAAGGGTAATCTTCAGAGTCCTCGATCATGCTGTAGCTTTTCTTTTGGATTTGGTTTAAATTCGAAGATTTGGCACCCTCTATCGTGAATGGTAGTGCGGCGAATATTAAAAAGAATTTGATAAGTTTAATATTATTGTTCAGTGTTCTATTGTAAATTTTTATTTGAGGATGATATTGTGGGAAAAACATTGTCTATATTATGTTTACCGCAAATATCACAATAGTATTTTTTCGTGAATGATAGTGGGAGGGGGGCAGTTGAATTCTTGAATTATATTAGCACTAACGCAGTCATTGTCACTGAAAATATCACATGAAAAAAAAAAAAAAAAAAAAATCACATTTGCAAAAATCAGCCTTAGTTTTCCAAAAAAAAAAAACAAAAGTTAGAAATCAAATCGGCCCGACTCGGAAAGTTGTCCCGGAAAAAAATCTCGAAAACTTTCAAAAGTGGCGCGCCAATATTTTGAGATGTTTTTTTTTGTGTGTATGGTGTAGTTGTGTTGATCTCTCTCACGATTTTGAGTGTGTATTAGCGAGCGCGTACTGAAAAATGTACGCTAAAGTGACGCTATATATGTGTGTAAAGCGCTCGCACGCTATTGGTCTAGATTCACCGCGACGACGAAGACGTGAGCGTAGGGAGCTTTTTCGAGCTTTTTTTTTCTTGCGCCCGAAGGAGAGCAACATGAGGGTGAGAATTATGAGAATTATTGTCGAAAATTTACGCAAAATTTGAATCAATTTTGATTCGTTGAATTTGATGGTAACGTTTCCTAAATATAAGAGGATGAAGCAGTCTGAATTAATATAAGCAAAAAAAAGAAAATTTTATTGATTAGGATAGGATTCAAATTCTTCGCTATAGAAGTGGCACTACATGACTTTCGCGCTTGTTATATTGCCTTATACCTAACATATTTTTCCTCGACAAGCATTGTTATTGAAATCAAGAATCGATGCCCAGAAATGGAAAAATCACAGAAATTATTGTGGGGATAGGACAGTTGCAGCAAACTCCAAACTTTTAAAACCTTCATCCGGGGCTAGATTGTATCACAAGTTTTTAATAACTGCCCTGCCCATCAAGTTATATTTAATGTACACGGTATCAATTTGGAAAGTATCAAAAAATACATCTCAAAAACTACAGAAATTGCAACAGCGCAATTCGGGGTAGGTGAATAATAGGGCAACTTGAAATGTCATATTTTCGTTAGGCGGCAGATATCCCCTTGCAGCCCCCTTACTTTCACTTTCACTTTTGATTTTTATATTACAGAACCCAAATTTTATAATATTAGGTATAGCTCAAATTGAAGGTCTCTTTGCATAGAAAAAATTGAGTCGACCGATTTGCTGTCGAAAATCTATTTATAGTAAATACATACATAGAATTCTCACAATCTGACCCATTTTGTTGCAAACAATAGTTAAGATCTTTGACAGATAGATTCCTAAGCAAGTTTTCTGGAATGTCACAGAAAGAAACTAGTGACAGGTTGAGTTTTACTTAAAATGGTCGAAAAGAATGCAAACGAATCAGATCTGGAGATTTTGGGGGCTATTATTTTGGGTCCGGTGCACCAACCCTCTGACCAGGAAGGAAAATATTTATTTAGAGATTGCCGGACAGGTATAACGTAACACAAAAGGTGGTGGTGCCGTCCATTATGTTGGAAATTAATTAAGATTTTTTTCCACATTTCTATTTCCATCAAGGTCTAATTGGTCCGCTAATTAATAGATAATTAGTAGAGACTCAGTTGTTTTTTAAGTCGAACGATTGGTTATTGAATCAAACGGGTTTTAATTTAAAAAAGTTGCATTTCTTCAAATACGCAAACCAAAAGACAATTTTCCAAATTTATTCTTCCAAAAGTTACGTATACTAAGGTACTCATATTTAGGTACTTACTCATAGTTACTTAAGTATAGTAACTATGAGTACCTTCCTAATTATGTATTACTGAGGTGCGATAAGATAGGATTGATTTTTGAATTAGAGGAGGGGAAAAAAATAAATTAGATATTTGAAAATTTTGAATTTCTAGAAGACAATTTTTTTTCTTGTACGGGAAAGTAGATATACAAATAGACATTTCCAAATATTGAATAAAATAGAAGCAATATACCAGAATCAGCATTTCTTATTTTTTATGTCCATATACAATAGGTACATTAGGTGATGCATTTCTTATAGACATGGCGTTAGAAGTAGGTACAGGGTGAGTCACTATAATTTGACACCCACCTGCAGCCGTAATTACAGGTGATAGGTAGAAGGTGTAAATACAAAAGTTGTAACATTTTATCTGAACCACCAGAATTTTTAATTAGATTGAAAAAATAAGCAACACAAAATGAAAAAATATGTCAATGTTCACTTTTTTCAAATGGAATGCACTTTATTTTCTTTCAAATTCTTAAAGTTCTCGTTTTTCTGATTCAGATTATATAATATATTAATGTTTCCTTCAATAGTTTTGGAAGTATCTGTAGTTTAGTTATTCAAAGACCTATACACGTATCAGAATGTTTTGTGAACAGGTGACAGGTAAATCAAGGTAAAATATATTCAAAAAACTACTGTCTCTGAAAAACTTACCTCCAGATATTTCCAAAACTATTGAAAGAAACATTTACATATCACATAATCTGAATCAGAAAAATGAGAACTTTAAGAATTTGGAAGAAAATAAAGGGCATTCCATTTAAAAAATGTGAACATCGACATATTTTTTTACTTTGCGTTGCTCATCTGTTCAATCTTATTAAAAATTCTGGCGGTTCAGATAAAATGCTACAACTTTTGTATTTACACCTTTTACCTATCACCTGTAATTACGGCTGCAGGTGGGTGTCAAAATATGGTGACTCACCCTGTACATAGGCAAAGAGGAATATATAGGATAAAGTAAGATATTAGTAGAGGCATTTGAGAAAGTCGCTTTATTTGTTATAATGGAGGGTGTGACAAATTCGTCATAGGTATGGGCATATCGGCAACCATAAGGTACAGGGTAATTTTTTATATTTTCCCACCCCCTTAACTTTTTTGTGCCACTGTGTATAAAAAAAGTGTAAATAGGAAAGGTGTAGTGCTTGAAAAATAGTTCTCAGAAAACATAGTTTTGTTCATACAGGATGTTGAAAAAAGTTTAAAAAACAAAAAAAATATTTTTTTGAATGGGACACCCTGTATATTATGACATTTCTGAATTCTGCGGAAAATTTTAGACATATTTTATGTATAATGTCATATACCTATCTTCAACTATTTCGGAAATATTGACAGTTGAAAATTGACTTTTTTGCATCTTTGACAGACTGTAAAACCTAAATGGTTGATTTTACAGCAAAACCGATCATACATGCTTGTCTTAGTTTTTCATAAAATTTCATTTGATTCCAACTTTGAATTTAATCCATGATCAAAAATTCCGGTTAAATTTAATTTCCGGTTAAATTCAAAGTTGTTGTCAAATGTTAGCTTATGAAAAGCTGCAGACGAGAATGTAAAATCGGTTTTGCTGTAATATTAACCGTTTAGGTTTTATAGCCTCTCAAAATTGCAAAAAAGGCAATTTTCCACTGCACTGTCAATATTTCCGAAACAGCTGAAGATAGGTATATGAAATTATACATAAAATATGTCTAAAATTTTCCGCAGAATTCAGAAATGTCATAATATACATATGTCATATATATTTTTATTGTTTTTTAAACTTTTTGCAACATCCTGTATGAACGAAAGTATGTTTTCTGAGAACTATTTTTCAAGCACTACACCTTTCCTATTTACACTTTTTTTATAAACAGTGGCACAAAAAAGTTAAGGGGGGTGGGAAAATATAAAAAATGACCCTGACTTACTGTAGGGTGGCCCAAATTAGAGCCTCATCATTGGGATCTCGGTAACCGTAAGAGATACAGGGTCGGTTAAATTATGGCAAAGTTGCCTAATTTTATGACCAATAGAATGCCGTTTTGAAACTAGAAAGATTCCGAATACTTCCGGAGATATTCGGAAAAAACCAAAATTTTGTAAAATCGTTTTTATTTTTTCCCAAGCTTATTTGAAAAGCAATTTTAAAATAAATGTCACTTCATCATCGTCACTTTTTTCCCTTTAGAAGATGGTGCTACTAAGATTAAAATTCGATGTTTCGTCTTCAGGTGGCCATCCTCAACTTACGTTTTTTAAATACGGACCTAGATTTTTTATTTGCGATGTTGTCATCTTTGGGCATCTTAGAAACGATACTGTTTATAATTTTTCAATAACACAGTAAAAAAAACAGGTCCGTATTTAAAAAAAATAAATTGATGATGATTCCAGAGGAACGAAACGTTGGATTTCAAATTTAATACCGCCTTCTTGTAGAGAAGAAAAAGTGACATTGGGAAAGTAAATTTAGTTTTTCAAAATCTTTTTAAATGGAATCAGGAGAAAATTTATGGAAAACGAGAAATTCATGTTTTTTTCGTATAGATTTAATTTTTTCCTGATTTTATTTAAAAAGATTGTAAAAAACTAATTTTGCATTCCCATTGTCACTTTTTCTTCTCTACAAGATGGCGGTATTAAATTTGAAATCCAACGTTTCGTTCCTCTCGAATCATCATCCATTTTTTTTTTTAAATACGGACCTGCTTTTTATACTGTGTTATTGAAAAATTATAAACAGTATCGGCTTTAGGATGCCCAAAGATGACAAAATCGCAAATAAAAAATGCAGGTCCGTAAAAAAAGGAAGTTGAGGATGGCCGCCTGAAGACGAAACGTCGAATTTTAAATTTAGTAGTACCATCATCTAAAGGGGAAAAAGTGACAATGATGAAGTGACATTTATTTTAAAATTGCTCTTTAAATAAGCCCAGGAAAAAATAAAAACGATTTTATTTAATTGCGGTTTTTTCCGAATATCTCCGGAAGTATTCGGAATCTTTCTAGTTTCAAAACGGCACTCTATTGGTCATAAAATTGCGTAACTTTGCCATAATTTAACCGACCCCGTATCTCT